TCCACCTGCCTTGGCCTCCAAATGTCCTGGGATTACAGGTGTGAGCCACCATCCCCAGTCGGGATTTTCTTTTCTATCATTGTCAGGCTGGAAATTTTCCACACTTTTATGCTGTACTTTCATTATAAAATGGAATGCCTTTAACAGTACCCAAGTCACCTCTTGAATGCTTTGCTGCTTAGACATTTCTTCTACCAGATACCCTAAATCATCTTTCGCAAGTTCAAAGTTCCACAGATCTCTAGGGCAGGGCAAAATACTGCCAGTCTCTATGCTAAAAATAACAAGAGTCACCTTTGCTTTAGTTCCCAACAAGTTCCTCATCTCCATCTGAGACCACCTCAGCCTGGACCTTATTGTCCATATCACTATCAGCATTTTGGTCAAAGCCATTCAACAAGTCTCTAGGAAGTTCCAAACTTTCCCGTATTTTCTTGTCTTCTTCTGAGCCCTCCAAACTGTTCCAGCCTCTGCCTGTTACCCAGTTCCAAAGTTGCTTCCACATTTTCAGGTAACTTTTTAGCAGCACCCCACTCTACTGGTAGCAGTTTACTGTATTGGTTCATTTTCATGCTGCTGGTAAAGACGTACCTGAGACTGGGCAGTTTACAAAGGAAATAGGTTTAATGGAGATCTTACAGTTCCACGTGGCTGGGGAAGCCTCACAATCATGGCAGAAGGCAAGGAGGAGCAAGTCATCTCTTACATGGATGGCGGCAGGCAAAAAGAGCTTGTGCAGAAAAATTCCCGTTTTTCAAACTGTCAGATTTCATGAGATTTATTCACTTTACGAGAACAGCATGGAAAGACTGACCCTCACGATTCAGTTACCCCTCACCATGTCTCACCCACAACACATGAGAATTCAAGATGAGATTTGGGTGGGGACACAGCCAGACCATATCAGGTAACTTCAGTGGAATGATGACTGCGTAAGTCATATTGTACTGAATGGAAGAGAGAGTTGGAACAGTGAACACATTCTACTTTTTCAAGAATTTCTCTTTTGAAGGTATGAGAGAAAGATGGCAAAACATTCATTTGAGGGTAGCATAGATCTAAAGACTTTTAAAACCTTGAGTCTTGAACATATTTATAGGCATAGGAAAAACATTCTACAGAAAGGAAAGATTGTAATTATAGGAGAGAGACAAACTGATATTTCTGAGGATACTGTGGGGAGTGGGTGCTGAAGGACCTTTGGATGTATCATTCTTTTTTTTTTTTTTTTTTTGAGACGGAGTCTCGCTCTGTCGCCCAGGCTGGAGTACAGTGGCCGGATCTCAGCTCACTGCAAGCTCCGCCTCCCGGGTTTACGCCATTCTCCTGCCTCAGCCTCCCAAGTAGCTGGGACTACAGGCGCCTGCCACCTCGCCCGGCTAGTTTTTTGTATTTTTTAGTAGAGACGGGGTTTCACGGTGTTAGCCAGGATGGTCTCAATCTCCTGACCTCGTGATCCGCCCGTCTCGGCCTCCCAAAGTGCTGGGATTACAGGCTTGAGCCACCGCGCCCGGCCGGATATATCATTGTTAAACAGAAGGGAAAGATGGATACATGAAACAGAGGGGCAAGATAATTGGTAGTTGGCAGAGGAGTGGTTGAATTTAAGGATTTAGGGTGAAGGGAGTGCCAGGAAGATTGTGGTGAGAAACTGGAAGAAGTCAAGGACAGGAGGATTTCAGGCAGTTGAACAGGAGGACTGGTAGAGAAGTAATGAGAAGGGTGAGGAGAGGCATTGTGGACATTTGAGTTCATGTCAGCATCAGAGCAGTTCTAAGCAGTGATGAAGTGCTTTTCAGAGTGTGATCTTGATTCTTCCTGGATGGAAGTGAAGATTGTAGGAATTGAGGTCAGAGAACTTTGAGGCAGTTTTATTGGTTGGATCAGACACATCTATATTCAAGTCACTTAGAGTGATGGGAGACGTGTGTTACAAAAGAAGAGTATGTGACCAGGTGCAGTATTTATACCTGTAATCCCAGTGCTCTGGGAGGCTGAGATAGGAGGGTCCTTGAGGCCAGAAGTTCCAGACCGGCTTGGGCAACATGATAAGACCCATCTCTAGAGAAAAAAATTTTTAATTAACCAGAAGTAGTAGTGCATGCCTGTAGTCCCCAGCTATTCTGGAGGCTGAGGTGAGAGGATCACTTGAGCCTGGGAGGTTGAGGCTGTAGTGTGCCATGATTGCTACACCGCACTCCAGCCTGGGTGACAGAACAAGACCTTGTCTCTGAAAAGAAAAAAAAAGAGTATGAGCCTTCAGCAAATGTTGGGGAATTTCATAGACATTAATGAAGAAGCATAGAGGATAGTGTACCTGTAGAGCATGAACACAAAGGATAAACAGAAAAGAATAACAAAAGCATTTATTAAGCATATACTAGATGCCAGCTATAATTTTAAGTGTTTTCCATGTAGTCAGTTTTTCAGTTGTCTTTGTTTTTGTTTTGTTTTGTTTTTGAGATGTGATCTTGCTCTGTCACCCGTGTCGCAATCACGACTCGCTGCAGCCTCAACCTCCCAGGCTCAAGCAATCCTTCTACCTCAGCCTCCCCAGTAGCTGGAACTGCAGCCACCATGCCTGGCTAATTTTTTAGTAGTTTGTAGAGATAGGGTCTTGCTATATTGACCAGGCTGGTTCTGAACTCCTGGACTCAAGCAATCCTCCTGCCTCAGCCTCCCAAAGTGCTAGGATTACAGGAGTGAGCCCATGCCTGGCTGTTCGGTTGTCATAATAACACTAATAGGCCAGTAATGTCATTATTTTTTATGAAGAAACTGAGGCACAGTGAGCTGGAGTCACTAGCCCAAGATCATACAGTTACTAAGTGGTAGAGCTAGGATTTCTATACAGGGAGTCTACCTCCAAAACACCTGCTTTTAACGGTGACACCACACTGTCCTTAACCTTATAGTGTACGTTAAATAAAATCCTATAAATGGCCTGGAAGTAGTTGTGGAAACTAGGAGAATGCCTATTTTCCACTACCCTCATTTATAGTGAGTGGGAGAGTAAGTAACTTCTTGTCTAGGAGGATTCAGGAGCCATTTCATTTAAGGCAAGAGGGCAGAAAGGGAGTTTTAGAAAAGGTTGAAAGGCACAAAGGGAATGTTTAAAATGGAATGTGGGCTCCAGGAGGATGGTTATCTGTAAAGTGGTGGGGAGAGAGCAAGAAGCAAGGAGTGAGAGGCTAGACGACCTGAGGGGCTTGCAGTTATGCCAGTGGCTAAGGGCAGCAGAGATTGAAGACTTGTAGAGGTTAATGGGTCTGAATGTTTCGGGCAGGTGTAGGTTAGAGCCCTAGGCGGTGGCAGAGGCCTGATGGTGCAAGGAGACTGGGCTTTTCCTATCTTCCTGAATTACATTTCATCATTCTGTTATTGTTACCAGAGTTTAGAAAGCCAGATGCTGTTCTTATGTCTCACCCAAGTAGCAATTGACAGTACTTTCTTTAATCTTTTGTTTTGTAGTTGTCTTGGTTCTAATTCTTATCTTTCAGCTGATCCAAACTCTTTTAAATTTAGAATGGTCATTGGATGACAGATTCTAATTAAAAGGAATTCTGGTCATCCTTCCTACAGCTGTTCATAGTTTACACCTTTAAACACAAAATCTTCATCAACTGTATTTTGGACTTTGCTCTTTTGTTCTCTGTGTTTCTAACTCACAGATATGTGCAGATTGTTCTGATTTAAGAGTGTGTGGCTCTCCTCTTACTTGGGAATTGAGAACAAAGGGGCTACAGAATCTCTAGGCTTTCTTGAGCAATTGGGGCTAAATGTTACCTAAAAACAACTTTGCATATTATTTAAAACCCTTGTACCCAGAGGCATTATGGCATAGTGGGATTTGTTTGGAATTATTTAGTTGTGTTTGAATCTCTATTCCCTACTTATTACTGACCTAATTTTTTTTTGCCTTTGTTATCTTATCTAAAAAGTTAACTTTTTAAAACACTTTACAGTAATATTTGTAGCTTCTTTGTAAAAAGAATAAAGTAGTCTCTTAGAGTTGGTATTAGGATTAGAGGGAACATAGGAAAGTATCTAGTGTAATGTCTGGTACATGGTAGCAGCCATTATAATCTAGTCCTCTATGGTTGCTATCTGAATTTTCTCTTAAATATTTCTGTTATAGCCTCTGAAATTTTTCTGTTCACTTTGGAGCCCCTGAAATACTGCAATTTCATGCCCTCCCTTGTTTTATGTTTGAGTATATCAGTTTTCAACCCAAGATATTAAAATCAATGAACATATATTCCGTGTTTAATCTGTTTGTCTTTCGCATTGATTCAATACAAGAGGGTGGTGAACAGTCTGTATTTAACTGTTTTTCATGTGTTGGACAAGAGACATTGCTAACATACAGCTAACACGGTAGAACTACATACGGCCTCTGACAGCTAACATGGTCGAACTACATACGGCCTCTGGATGACTTGATAGGAAGTGATCGAACACTGTGACGTATCTGCCGCTCCTGAATATAGCAGCAGATTTTCCTACTTGCCTTGGTATCTTTTGTAGCTCTTGCCATTTTACGTGTCCTAATTTACTCATGAGCAGAAACTCATACTTGTTGCTTTCAGTGGTATCATTTTTTACCCCTTTTTTCTGACATGTTCTTTCACTCATCAACCTTCTGGTTTTGATTCTCTTTCTGCTCTGTCATTTTTTTTTTCTTCCCTTTTTAGATCCTAGTCTGTTTAAAAATTCTGGTTTTTGAGAGTAGCGAGCCCTTTTACTTTTTTCTGACTGCCTAATTTTCACTAATCGTGAATATGAACCACCAGGATGATAAAGTATACATAATTCACACCCATTCAGTCACTAGGACAATCATGTTTGAAAGTAAGATACTTGGAGAGCATACATATGTATGTAGCTATTTGGGATTTTGTGTCTGGAGTGTAATATGTGTGTAAGTGGTAAAAATAAAAGAAATATATTCTGAAACATACCAGTCTTTGTAATGAAGTTGTTATTCTCTATCTTTGCAGGGATTTGTGGAACTGACTGTATTTCCCACAGTTGCAAACTTGAATAGAATCAAGTTGAACAGTAAACAGTGTAGAATATACCGAGTAAGGATCAATGATTTAGAGGCTGCCTTTATTTATAATGACCCAACCTTGGAAGTTTGTCACAGTGAATCAAAACAGTAAGTTATGCACTTTAAAAGTCATTATTTTTAACAGTTTTGAAAAAATGTTTTTAATGATTGGATTAGTTTTTCTCGAAGTATTTTTTTTTTTTAACATTGTTATTAGGCTTTGAATCCCAATCTTTTTGATCTGTTTTACCACTCTGTACATTTGGTTCAAGTGATTTTGCTAGCTGTGCCCAACGTAGTTACTAAGTTTCCCTTCTGCATGTTAAAACTCTAAGGAAGTATTATCTGGGAACTGTAAGTAGATTTTCTTAGTTTTTTTTTTTTTTTTTTTTTTTTACTTTTACTGTTTTTCTTAACTATTTACTTCATAAATATTGAAAGTAATTTTCAGTGGGTTAGATGGTCACTGTAATCTGTAGACCAGAGGCTACTTCAAAATATTCTGTGAAATATTCTATTGAAAAGTTTTAGAAAGTAGCTAATGAAATTGACTGCCTTAAACTATCTTATATTAGGTCTAAAGTAGCTTATTTCTTCACCTTAAATAAATACTACATCTGTTGAGGCTACTTCTAGTTTTTATCATTAAATATGTATTGCTGTTATCAGTTTTATGTTCTACTTTTTGTATTTCATAGTTTGTTTCCATTTTCTGTGTGTTTGTGTGCTTCATTTTTTGTCATCTTTATGGTTAAATAATACTCCATTTGCTCAGTGTACTATAGTTTGTATAATTATTCTCCAGTTGTTTGGCATTTTGCAGTCATAAGTGGTGAGTGAATGTTTTGGCACATACAAATTTTTTCCCTTTGATTATTTTACTTGTCATTTCTAATGGCTCTTTTCAGTATTTTACCTGATTGTGCCCTAGTATTTAAATTTATGCTAATTTAAATTAGCATAAATTTAAATACTATCAATACATGTGAGGACACTTACTTTTTCAAAGCTTTGATAACATTGGGTTATGTTATTTCTGTGATTTCTTGTGTTTAGGGGTAGGATGCCAAAACTTTATCATAAACTTTTTAGTCGAGATGATGTTTTAACTAGTCTAGATGTATAATGCCTTAAGGCAGCAGTTCTTAAAGTGTGATTCCCAGACAAGCATCAACTGGGAACTTGTTCGACTGACCAGTTCTCAAACAATACCCTAGACCTGAATCAGAAATTGTGGATAGGCTCCTACAGTTTGTGTTTTAACAAGCTTGCCAGGTAATTCTGATACAGACCAAAACTTGAGAACCACTGCCATAAGGAATTGCAAAGGTTTACAAGGGCGGCTTGTTTTTAGAGTATTTATGGTCCCAATAATCATTGGTTTAAAATCTTTCACATTTAGAGAGGAGATACACAAATGGGATTGGAAAAATTCAGGGAATCCCTGATTTACTCCTGTAACTTTCCATTTCACAAAGGTGAGTTGTTGAAATTACATTGCTTTTAAAGCCACATTTGTAGATCTGACATAAAAAGACTTATTACAAAATTATCTGCATCCCTTTTCCCCCAGAAAACAAAAACAAAAACTTCTGCCTTTGAGGAGGTTAGTATACACCACTAATAAATGGAAAGATCACCTGATGAAGAGCAGATAGAGGACCAATTACCTTGCCGGAAGGTCAAAATATCCACCCTATCCAGCCTAGAACTCTGCATTTGATAGTAGGGCAAGGTACCTGTTTGTCGGTCACAAAACACAGTGTCTTTACATCTTTTTTACTAATAATTTGTTGTTGCTGCCCAGGTCTCAAGATAATCTGTTAAGTGTAATGACAGGACTCTTGGTCTGTTAAGGAAGCAAGCTTTACTTTGCTCTTTTTATTTTGATGATATTCCCTAAACGTTTTCCCTAAAATTTTTCTCTAGTGATATTCCCTAAATTTTTTCTCTAGCGATAATGGAAGATGCCTCATTACTTTTAGTGTTCTAAGTCAGTGGTTTCGTGGAAGACAGTTTTTCCACGGACCAGGGGGCAGAGGGCGTTTTGGATGAAACTTCCACCTGAGATCATCAGGCATTAGATTCTCATAAGTAGCGTGTGACCTATATCTCTTGCATGTGCAGTTCACAATAGAGTTTGGGCTCCTATGAGAATCTGGTGCTGCTGGTGATCCGACAGGAGGCAGAGCTCAGAAGGTAATGCTTGCTCACCCGCTACTCACCTCCTGCTGTGTGGCCTGGTTCCTAACATGCCACAGACCTGTATATATTTATAATTTAAAGAATGAAGAGGAAGTTCTAAAAGAGAATCTTTTCAAAGGTTAGGCTAGGAAATTGGGAAAGATGGAATGTATTTAAAATTTTTCATTCAACTAGAACCATAGCTCTGTTGGCCATGGCCACTTAGTAAATGCTTGACTAAGAATTGACTAGTATGCGTGACTATCCTTGCTTTTTTGCTTAGCTTTGGAATCTTTATTACTCTTTAAGAGAGGTGATTTTCGTATTTTTGCTTCTGTTTATCCTCTGAATTATTCAAAAAGAAATTGATTTTAGAGTTTTATTAGACATAAGTTTTAGAAAGTAGCTAATGAAATTAGCATGAAGGGTAAGCAAGTATAGGATGGTGGTGGATATTCACTATTAAGTTACTGCACAATTCCTAGAGGAAAACTGCAGATTTGTGTCTTATATTTCTGATTGCCATAGCAAAGAGGGTTTTTAAGATTCATAAGACATGACAAAAACACACCAATTATTCAGAAGAAATATTATGTTTATTGGCAGTTAGATGTGAAAAAGACCTGTGAAAGACGTTACTTTTAAAGAGAACTTTGGGAAAGGCAGATAGCTAAGGCCTTTAGCATGCTCCTAGATGCTTCTGTTACTTATTTCTGAAATAACTTTCCTTCTTTAATGAACCAATAAAGCTAAAACAGAAATTAAATATAGCAGTTTTGAAATTAAAAGTGAAACTTCAAATTCAGTAGTAAATTTGATTTTACCGTTGATTTTACATACAAGTATGTCTTAACACTGAGAGAAGTAATGTACTATACTATTTAATCACATTTTATTATTTTAAAGTTAAGGTGCCATGCCCTCCCTATTTTTGATTGAAAGAGTGTGTTTACAATGGTTGAGATTCAGCTCCTTTGAACTGTAGGGGAATGTAAGGAAAAGAAACATTTGAATAAGAGGCTGAAAGGCATTTCTATCTATTTTATCCAACTGTTAGCTGACATGTTACATTACGTATACTAACAATTTAAAAACATATTGGTTATGTAATATGTATAAGCAGCTGTCTTTTTGCTTTACAGTTTCTCAGTAAAATAATTCAGCACTTGAAATTTTCCTACATATATTTTGTGTGTGAATCTTATGGATTGTAGATAGATTGTAGATTGTCTCCACAGGAGCTACAGCGCTTCAGTGTTTTTGTTTTTGCTGTACTTCTCTTTTCTTAGAAAAAGTTAAATGTAGACTTTGTCAGGGAGACTTTAACCTACCATGACTGATAGCTCTTTTTCCTCTTTGTTTTATTCCTAGATAGGCTTTGCCACTTTTTCTTTTTCTTTTTCTTTTTTTATTTAAGACCAAGTCTCGCTCTATCGTCCAAGCTGGAGTGCGATGGTGCTATCTCTGCTCACTGCAACCTTCGCCTCTAGGTTCAAGTGATTCTCCTGCCTCACCCTCCTGAGTAACTGGGATTATAGGCACGTGCTACCACACCTGGCTAATTTTTGTATTTTTAGTAGAGACAGGGTTTCACCATGTTGGTCAGGTTGATCTCGAACTTGTGACCTTGTGATCTGCTTGCCTTGGCTTCCCAAAGTTCTGGGATTACAGGCGTGAGCCACTGCATCTGGCCAGGCTTTTCCACTTTGAGAAGCCCCCAACCTTTTTTTTGTTTGTTTGTTTGTTTTTTAAGACAGAGTCTTGTTCTGTTGTCCAGGCTGGAATGCAGTGGCACAATCTCGGCTCACTGCAACTTCCGCCTCCTGGATTCAAGCGATTTTCCTGCCTCAGCTTCCCTAGTAGCTGGTACTACGGGTGCGCGCCAGCACACCCAGCTAATTTTTTGTTTGTTTTTTGTTTTTGTTTTTGTATTTTTGGTAGAGACAGGGTTTCAGCCCATTGGTCAGGCTGGTCTCGAACTCCTGACCTCATGATCTGCCCGCCTCAGCCTCCCAAAGTGCTGGGATTACAGGCGTGAGCCACCACGTCCAGCCGAGAAGCCCCTTTTTATTTTACTTGAAATGTCCCAACTTTTCAGTGTCAAAAATGAGTTTAATTTCCACCAAGGAGTGGCAGCGGAAATGAAATTACCTATTTTAGTATATAAATGAAGTAATTATCCAGTTATAATTTTTTTTTTAAATTGCTGGGTTTGGTTTTTTTAATATTTTGTAGATTCTATATTTTAATGCAGACTTCTACATGGAGCTTTAACATTATTTCATTAATGTCATGTAATATAAATTGGTAATTCCCTTATTGATTATGGTTAAGTAATATCAGTATTTTAACTCAGCTACAATGATGCACTGCCAGTTGGTTTATTAGTATTAGAATTAAGTTATCTTAGAGTTGGAGGGACATTAGAGTTCATTTAGTCTAAAATTCAACATGAAGCCTTACTATATTTCATTTTCTGCTTGAATACTTCCAGTTCGGCAGGGCTCATAATGTATTTTTCTTAATTTTTTTATTTTTATATTTTTAAAGACAGAGCCTTGCTCTGTCACCCAGGCTGGAATGCAGTGGTGCGATCATAGCTTACTACAGCCTTGAACTCCTGCACTCAAGCCATCCTCTGCCTTAGCTTCTCAAGTAGCTGGGACAATATGTGCCCGCCACCACGTTTGGTTAATTAATTTTTTTTTTATTATTTACTGGATGCATGGTCTCACTATGTTGCCTAAACTGGTTTTGAACTCCTGGCCTCAAGTGGTCCTTCTGCCTTGGTCTCCCAAAGTGCCGCAGTTACAGGTGTGAGCCACCATGCCTTGTCCTCATTATATTTTAAAGCACTCCTTTCATTATTTCTAAATGCTGGAAAGTTCTTTATTACATTGAGCTACAGTTTGTTTTGTCTTAATAGTCACAAACTTAATCCTAACTAAATAAATACCTTTCCCCTAAGTTTTCTTTTCTTCAGGCTACAGAATTATTGAGATTATTCTCAACCATTCCTCATGTTAGAAACTCTTTCTCAATTTATTTCCATCCTCTTTGTCCTTCTCTGGATAATCTCAGATTTGATACTGTGTTTTCTTAAATGCGGTAATCCCTGAACTCTAGATATGGTTCTTCCTATTTGGACTAGATCAGTATATACATTTCAGTAGATCCATTTTGTCCTTTATCTAGATAAAGTATTTCTAGTAGCTTGAAACTCATTCGCCTTTTAAAAGTTGTTTTAGAATTAAAAATCACAAACCAAATATCCACTGTCCTCAAGAGAATCACCTAACACCCACAAGGATTCTTGCAGACTCACGGTAAAGGGGTGGAAAAACATATACCATGCAAATAGAAACCAAAATCAAGCAGGAGTAGCTGTTCTTTTATATCAGATAAAACACATTAAAGCAACATGAATAGACTTTTGTTAAAAGAAGATATACAAATAGCCAACACATATTAAAAAAATTCTCAACATCACTAATGATCAGGGAAATGCAAATTAAAACCACAATGACATACCCCTTATCCCAGCCAGAATGGCCATTATGAAAAAGTAAAAACAAAGAAAAAAACCCATAGATGTTGGCATGGATATGATGAAAAGGGAATGCTTATACACTGCTGGTGAGAGTGTAAATGAGTACAACCTGTGTGGAAAACAGTACGGAGAGTTCAAGTAGATCTACCATTTGATCTAGCGTTCTCACTACTGGCTATCTATTCAAAGGAAAATAAGTCCCTATGTCAAAAAAGACATCTACATGTCTATGTTTATTGCAGCACGATTCACAATTGCAAAGATATGGAACCAGTCTAAGTCCACATTAACTGATGGGTGGATAAAGGAAATGTGGTGTGTATACATATGTGTATACATACACACACACCACATATATAGACACACACATACACACATATATACATACATACACACACACACACACACCCCATGGGATACTACTCAGCCATAAAAAAGTAATGAAATGTCTTTTGTAGCAACATGGCTGGAACTGGAGGCCACTATTCTGAGTGAAGTAACTCGGAAATGGAAAATCAAATACCATATGTTCTCATTTTTTATTTGTATATTGAAATCTAAACCATCAGAGTATTCGAGACTAAGCTATGGGTATGTGAAGACATACAGAGTGATATATCTGGATATTGGAGACTCAGAAGCAGGGAGGAGGGAGAGATTTTTAAAATGACATATTGGGTACAATGTACACTACTTGGGCAACAGGTACACTAAAATCTCAGACTTTCCTTTGTATAATTCATC